AATAGCCCTTATTACCTTCCCACGGGTCCCACCTCCACATAGGGACTAGGGATTAGGGCTTCAAGGTATGAATTTTGGAAGGATACACTGAGTCCATAGCAAGGGTTCTTTTAGTTGATCTTCATTCTGAGAGACCGCCTTGCATTGGAAATTTAGCATGGATAGGACTATTGTACACAAGGTTTATATGTAGACAAATTTGAGCCCCAGTCTCTGCTCTTATTCTTATGTCTTGATGTTGGACAGTTATTAAATTTAAGTCTCAATTTCCTCAACCATGAAGTTGTTCAATCGTGGTGTCTATTTGTAGAGCTACTGCCAAGATAAAATGAAAACCGTGCGCGTAAAGCACTTAGCACAGTGCTTGGCACAAAATAGATCCTTGATGATAATTTAAGTTCTGAAAGTCAACCAAACCTCTTTGAACAAGAGCTGAGACAGGTAACAAAAAATGAAATGATTTGATCAGTAGTTTGATTGTTAATATCAAAATTTGTTTGTATTTGATTATAATTTTTGCAAGTCTCTGTTAATTGCAACATATCATTTGTGTTGCAATAAACATGGACAAGTGGTGTGTGTGTGTGCGTGTGCGTGTGCGTGTGTACATGCTTGTGCATGTGAGCATGGGAACATGGGACCTTGATGGTCTTCCCCATGATGTATTTGGGTAATTAATTCATTTTCTGCTACCATAGAAAAAAATTCAACCAACACACCACTTACAAATTTGGGATATATTTTACCCACACATCACCCCTCTGCTTTTATTTTAGTGAAACCGGAAACATTTGAACTTTCTCTTTTTGAAGCATATTATTCCCTAACAAAAATGTTCCTCTTCACATCAATAAGGAGATGCTCAAATTAAATGTTACTGGGAGGAAAATGATAAAAAACAAATAAATAATAAATAAATAAATAAACAAAAAGAAACCACCACCACCACCACCAACAAAAACAACCAACACTTAATACACACACACATTCTGAACTCTCAAACTCCCAAATTCTCAGGAATCACCCCTTGACATCCATGCTATTAATAGTGTAGCAAGTGTCGGGGCGCCTGGGTGGCTCAGTCGGTTGAGCATCCGACTTCGGCTCAGGTCATGATCTCAGTCTGTGAGTTTGAGCCCCACGTCGGGCTCTGTGCTGACAGCTCAGAGCCTGGAGCCTGCTTCGGATTCTGTGTCTCCCTCTCTCTCTTTCCCTCCCCTGCTCATGTCTCAAATATAAGTTAAAACATTTAAAAAAAAATTTAAAAACTAGTGTAGCAACTGTCCTAAAATATTTCATACTTACATTTTATAGAAATTATCATTGCTTTTCCTTTCAGGTCTAGTGACTCTTGAAAAAAATAAATCTAAGCTTGTTCTTACATGACCTGAAATGTCAAGATGACACATTCATTTTAAGGCTTAACTTAAGGTATTACTCAGAGAGTGAGGGTCCTGGGGGAAGTGGATTTCTCAGTTGTGAAACAAGAGGAGACAAGATCATCAGTAAGAAAGTATGGCAACGTGAATTTTACTAGTTGGATTTTCAACATATGGACTAGAGTTGAATGAATCTTTAGTCTTGGATTTTGACAATCTTAGTACCATTATGTTCTCATTACCTTGAGTACAAAAGGCATTTGCTACAAGTCTAGAAGACTTAAGGAAGAAAGGGAAAGATGCATATTAGAGAGGACCTCAAGGGTAGGGTAGCCCTCCTCCTATTTCAAGAAAACTTAAGCTTCTAAAGGGCAAGGAGTGATTCCCAACACTTATAGGAAATAAAACAAAATCTAAGCATCGTTCATAACTTGAAGTGCAATGAAGAAGCAGAACATGGAACTGAAAATTCAAGAGGACTGTGTTTTCCTGAAAACTTCAAGTAGCTCCCTCTAAATTCAGAATGTACTAGAAAGGCCTGTGGGATTTATTTCTGCACACTGGGTAGATTTATGTATTTAGAAAAGGGCTACCAGGAGTGCGTTCCCAGAAAGTGACGTTAAGCTCTAGTAAATGATCTGATTTCTGGCCTTTCAAAGGAAATCGATAAAAAAAACAGAATAAGATCCTGTGAAATGAGTGATTTCCTGGGGTGAAGCTGTCCCCCATCACTGTACTTCTCCAGAATGAACCTGTTGCAAGCTGCACTGGTTTTGTGATTAGTGTGAATGAATATTTCTTGTCACGTAGATTCACTATGGACTTTTTAATTAATAATAATGTCTTGTGTCTTTAGAGCCACCATCTCGAGGAAATTTGAGTGCATTATAACTGATGGATTTCAATTTGTCTTCCTACTATCCTGCTGAATGTATAGATTAGGTATTGCAATTGTGTTTTGATGAGGAAAAATAGAACCAGAAAAATTAAATCATTGCCCACAGAGATTTCAGAAGGCCAATAATCGAATCATCAATTACTATCTGGTAGTCTTTACTTCTAATTCTGGCTGTTTCCCCAGAATATCTGATCAGTTGTGACAGTTTGTCCTTAGAAAAATAGAGTTGATCAAAACAGTTATTTGCAGTTGCTGTGACTAACAGAAGTTTACATTCCTTCTCGTTATTTTGGTGGTGTTACACAATTATTATTTGTTTGTTTTTATTGATTAAACCACATGCACGTTTTAAGTGGCCTATGCCAACATCCTTGGAATTCTCTTAAGTCACGCATGTCAGAAGTTTTTGTCCTGGTAAGGGAGTGGTGTAAAACTTAAATTCGGATATTAGGTAGTTGTGATATTTAAAAATTGGCTATCTCCATCACCTACCTGCCATTGTTTTAGCTGCCAAAAGAAAATGAAGTAATCTCCCCAACACAACCATGTTCAAAACCCTTACTCGTTGTACGTTTGGAAAGATTGCTATCATCCTTTCAATCACCCATTCCTCTAGGCTTGAAAACATGAGACGCTGATTTTTCCCCTTCTTGTATTACTAGTTCTATCATTGTTTTCCTTTGACAAGTGTATTACTCTGTCCCTTACTGTGCCCACTCTGCTCCTCGCCTGCAATGTGGTGATCTCCCTACTTGTCTCCTGACTTCAGTTCTCTGTGCCTCGATACGTCTTAGATAAATTTTCCTAATAAATTCTTTGTAATTTTAGAAAGTATGACTTAGGCATAAAAAAGTCTACAAAATATGTTGAACATCACCATCACCCAGCTTAAAAAATGGGACCTTAGAGGGGCACCTGAGTGGCTCAGTTGGTTAAGCGTCCGCCTCTTGACTTCAGCTCAGGTCATGATCTCATGGTCATGAGATCGAGCCCTGCGTTGGGCTCCATGCTAACAGAACAGAGCCTGCTTGGGATTCGCTCTCTCCCTCTCCCTCTGCCTCTCCCCCACTCACACTCTCTTTCTCCCTGCTCTCACAAAATAAATAAATAAACGTGAAAAAAAAAAAAAAGTGACCTTAGAGATACAGCCAAAAAGCCTATTTGAAACCTCTCCGGGATCTCATTTCTTTTCTTTCCTTTCCACTGTCACGAATTTCATGATTATTTTTTATGCAACTTTTTATACTTTTTACCTATATATCTGAGTCTGTAAAAATGGGTAGTATTTCTCTACCCCAGTAATTTCTTTCTGAAACTTTCATGGTTTTTTTTTTTTTCCACATGGCTTTAAGAGTTCCTCTCTTTTAAGATTTATACATGTTCGTGTATGCGACTCTGTTCCCTTCAGTTGTGTTGCCGTGGTCCACTGGATCCATACGACACGATTTATCCATTCTTCTCCGCATGCACTGTGAGGCTGTTTGCTATTTCCCCCCTCAAGCACAAACAGTTCCACGACAAACATGTTTGAACATGCTTCCTTGTTTACATTTCTGAGAGTTTCTCCAGACTCAAGGTCTAAATCCTGGGAGGTAGGATCTGCTCACTTTCCAATTTTTCATTCAACAGTGCTTGTGGCCAACTGACGTGCTGTAATTATGTGCCCTATTCCACCTAAAAAAAAGACCCTTCATTCATCCCTCCACCGACGTTCAATGGAATTTCATCCTCCTGAAGGAGAAGAGCTCCTTCTCATTTCCCAATCTGACTGGACCTCCCCCAAGGAATTTCTTTTAGTGAGGGGTCACCAGTTCAAAAGCTTTGGGCCACATGCTGAAATGCCAATGTATGAAAAATGCAGGGTGTGGTGGGATCTGGGTAGAGTGGGAGCCATGTATCAGGGCACCACATCCGATCTACAGACTACGAGTTTATGGTCCCTGAGATTCTTGTATTGCCTTGTTTATTTTCCTGAGAGTGTCTCCGAAATGCGTAATCATCCAATATACTGCATAGCAGCAAAGACCTAGGTCTCTGGAGCCAGGCTGCCTGGGTTTGAATCCCTGTGCCACTGCTACTAGTTCTCTGCGTCTGAGCTGGTTCCTTGTTTGCAAAATGGGGGACATGCTCATACTCGTTTCCTAAGGCTTTGGCGAACACTGGACGAGGTAAATATACATGAAACTCTCACGTAGGTGCCTAATGCATTTTTGTGGAGTTGTTGAAGAGAGTGAAAAGAAGAAAAAGTCGTCTCATACCTCCTCGGTGTGAGACAGTGCTTTAGGAACTGGGAAGATGATGTTGACTTTAACATCTGTCTCTTTCCCAAATTAAGGTGTCCGTTGAAACCAAGCCCTCCACACGTTACTTGGCTCCGCAATGAGTCCGCAAATATACGATGAATGAATCAATAAGCCTAATGATTCTCTTAAGGCAACATGAGTGCCCAAGGTGTGTTCTGAGCCACGATGGAGCAGGTTAATTATACCCGTGATAACTTTACTCTGTGCACGTTAGTGTATTCTTATTCTTTGGCTATTGATTATTCCTGTGTAATATGGACAGTAGCTTGCCGTTAGCCGTGACAGTTGAGTGGTCAGGATACCATCTTTTTTTATGACAACGAGTAACAGAGAACTATTTCTTTAATGCCTTACTTGTACACAAAACCACCGACTTTTGATTATGACGAGAATTTGTCCCCTCCCCGCCTCCATTTTTAGGTCTCATTGTCCACGAAGGAGCTGCAGTTTACAGAGTGTTTAAGCGCTGGCGGGCTGTTAACTTACACTGGGATGTATTGAATTATGATAAAGCCACAGACATCGAAGAAAGTAGCCGGGGAGAGTCTTCCACAAGCAGGACTTTATGGTTGCCACTGACGGCCCTGCGGAACAGGAACTTGGTCCACCCGACGCAGTTAACTTCCCCCAGGTTTCAGTGTGGCTATGTGTTACTGCACCTGTTCAACCGGATGAGGCCCCATGAAGATCTGTCCGAAGATAACAGCTCAGGGGAGGTTGTGATGAGAGTGACTTCTGTGTGACAAAAGCGTAAGGCGGCGTGGTGTAGACCACCCTGCACATCTTGGAATGTAATTGCAATGAATGGCGAAACCACAGCACTTCTAAAAACACACATCTATGAACTTTTTAAAATTTATGCTTTTTATATGAACATTTGAATTGCAAATACATTTTTCTGAAAAAAAAATAGCTCTCTGGTTCTTTGCTTTCTGATTTCCCACATCTTTTATAAGTTGGTACTTGAAATCATTATACATATAATTTAACCCTACTTGGTTCAAAGAATGACGGAAGCTGTCCTGAAGGCCGAGACTATTTTTTCTTGCTTGTTTTAAATATATTTTTTATCAAACGTTTTGCTCCATGTGTAGTTTTTCAGTCATGCCAAGAACGGGGAAGAGCTTAGAACTCTGTGGGCAGATGCCAAGGTGCCTGTGGGTTCGCAGATCCCAGGTGCTTGGGCGATGCTGTGGACTGGTCCTCTTCGTGCCTCACATCTACTGGGAGATGTAAGCGGGACTCTTTTGCTGGGATGGAATAATCTGTCACCAGGAATGCAAGCTCTAGGAATGTTGGCTTGCTTTCTAGCTTGTGAAACAGTACAGAGAGCTTATAAACAGTTAAAGATGAGTGGGGGAAAAATAGTACGTATAACTTACTGGTATTACATACAAGTGGGCAGGGCCTTCTGTATACTTATAACCGTAAGAGCTCACCAAAACGTCACATCATTGCTTGTGAAGTAATAATCCCACCGCCTCACATTTGCATAACCCTCTTACAGACCTACGGCAGTCATTTGGGTTAATTATTAGTGTCTTGAAGCCTGTGAGCGCTATCTTAATTAGATTTTCTTTCTGTAAAAGCTTATATACCTACTGAATCATTTAAACACGGACCCTATCACTCGCTTTAATGAAGTCCTGGGAAATCTATTCACCTGCAGCGAGAAATGTTTTCTTTCAGTAGATAAGTATTTTTTAAGTGAAAAGAGGAAAAGAAAAATGAGGCTATTGACTCCCTAGGAACGGTTTGCTAACTAGCGGCACCTGGCACCTTTTAATCCTCCTAATGGAGGGAAATGGCACATTTTAATGAGCAGTGACAGAATAAATGAAGAGGCAGGCGGTCATGCTTTCCTTTGGAACATGAGTTGAACATGTAAGTCATTGGAAGTCACTGATGAGTAGATTTTAAAGCATATGAAATAAAAATGCTTTACATTCTATTTTCTAAAAATGACCTTTGGATGATTCGTACTAGGATAGTTAACGTTGACAGGTAGCACTGTGATTCCTACGTAGCAAATCCCACCAATACGCGAAAGAATATTTTCCCAGTTTAAAAACTGTCGCAAATGAGTTAAGGCTGTGCTAATTTGCATAAATGGGAAAAAGGAATCAGGAAATCATGAAAGAAGGAACACGCAACCACTGTTAAGGGGGCAGTTGTAGGAAGCGAGAGCGTTCAATATTCCCATCCTGTATGTCACTTTTTTAATTCTGATATTACACAAGCACAGTCCTGGGGAAGACACTGGGAGGTAGCAGTCAGTCCTATGAATCTGGTTCTGGACGCTCAGAATCTTGCCCCCTGGGACTGAAAAGCAGATTAATTAATAGGGACACCAGGAATGCCAATCTGCTGTCAAAGGAACAACCCATTTTTTGTGCCCCGCAGGTGTTGATGTTTGTCCTGGACAGTTTAATCACGAAGAGGAGTCGTCGTCAACAACACGTTTAATGGAGAATAATTGTGGGAACTGTTCAGCGCATCGCATTAAAAATACCGGATAAAGAGACAGACACAGATTAGATTATCACGGCTCCGTATTTAGCAAGTCTGCCCTTCTAATTGGCGTACACCCTCATATTCCATCAACTCACTAGACACAAAAAGGCATAATGGATGGGAGACCCCGCTCAGTGTGGGGTGCACGAGGTAGAGATGTCGCCAAGAGAGTTCAGAGTGAGCCTGTCAAACTGGAAAGGAATATGCGGGACTAGGCTGCCCTGCTTTCCAGCACCCTGACCTTTGGATGCACATTTTGCCCACACCCACTGTTTCCCCCCATCACCTTCACACCTCCTAACACACCCACACACACAGTCACACACCCACATGTGACCCGAGTCAAGGTTGGAATAAGGATCTGGCAGAACCTCACTCAATAAAACGTACCCTCTCTGAAATGATTACCTAAAAACTCAGAAGAAATACTCCAGGTGGGGAGGAGACGTGCCTTGAAAGAATTGAATTCACTGTTTAAAAATAATTAAAATGTTAATATGTACTACGAGTTACGATATAAATAATTAACTTCCAGTTGCCAAGTCTGTAATTCAAACGTGGGCTCCCTTAAATATCAAAATCACCGATGTAAGGAAATAAGTTCGAAATGCCTTATTTTTAGGATCTTTTCCAATATGAGAAACACTGAGACCTGTATGCATTTTGTCTCTTTCCAACCACTCATTTGAAGGACAGGCATCCACAGAGCACCTCCTGCGTGCCACATACTTTCGCAGTGGGCCGCAGAACGACCCAGGTTTGCAGGGAGACTTTGGGGACATGTGCCACAGCATATGTGGCAGGATACAGGCCAGCAAATGAAAGTGGAAGATCAGGAGCAGATTTCCCTGGGGTGGCCGGGGAAGGAATCCCCGAGGAGCCGGCATCACTTGGGTGCTGAAGCGTGAGCAGCAGTTTGCCACTCAGACAAATGGAGAAGAAGTTCTGGGAACGGCTCCTTGGGGGTAAAAGAGAGGCATGTTTCAGTCATGGTGAGAGGCTTCTCACCGGGGGTGGGGCAGAAGATGCCTGGGAAGACATGATCTATCTCTATGGGGTTTACTAGGTAGCAGAGTCCGAACTCCACAGGGAACCCTGAGAAGACGGTGTTCAAGCTGCAGGTGGCCAGACGTGGCAAGGTCATCTCAGGGGGATGTTCACCCCCCTCTAACCCGATTCCTATGGGCGACACTGTCTGTTCTCAAGGTACGGCTAAAATAAATGGACAGTGGTCATACCCTCAAAAGAGTTCGGAGAAATCCTACAAAATGAAATAGTAGGCAGCAATCACACACAGGTGCCACCACTATAAATTAGATCATGCAGTAGAAACACTGGGGGCATTGAGTGGGCTCTCTTCCCCTCTCCCAGAAGACAGCGAAACCCACAATTCCCAAGAGGAAAGCACATCGGAGATTTTGTGAAGTAGAAGATAGCGTCTCTATTATTGAAAATACTCCCAAACACTTCCCAGAATAAAGACTATCATCTGATTTTTCTTAAACGTGATTAATTTTTTTTTTTTATTCCATATGTCTCATTAACTAAACAAATGCCAAAATAAAGCAAGCTCTCTCTACTGCTTCTGTTTCAGCCTGGGACTGCTTTCCTTTGCCTTTTTGTTTTTCTTTTTTTTTCCCACACTACTAGCAGAGTCTATTATTTTTGATGATGTGCTAATCAATCCTCCTTTATCTACGGAGTGAAATAGCAAAATTAATTTGTCTTTGCCAATCCAGAATTAGATCAGTGATCATCTAATAATGGAAGTGTCATTTTACACAAAGGTCATAATTTGTCCCCATTTTCCTGCGTAGCTTGCTTCTTTTTTTCTTTTTGATTTGCAAATTTTAATGGCAGTAGCTTACGAATATCTGATACTTAAAATTTTTCTTTCCAGGCTCATCGTTTATCAGACTTCAGTGGCAAAATTTGGCTTTTTATTTTCAAAACGTGTTTGCATAAATGATATCATATAAAAATAATTTGATGTCCAACATATTAAGAAATAATTGGTTTAAAACCTTAAGAAGATACTGGAGGCAGTTAGTTCAATCCCATTTTATCAGTTCAGAAAAAAAATGCTCCCATAATGTGTGTGTGATTCAGAATTGCGGCAGGTGCCGTAATTTATAGCAAAGCTCAAAGTTCCGAGCCCCGGTGGAACCTAGAGATTAATTAATTACCTCATAAAGATGCCATTTTATACACAGTGGATTTATCTAATAAATTAGTCAAAGGCTTCAAAGTTATTTTAAGGGATTTTCCCTCTAGGAAGTATAGACACTGGGAGCCAGTGGGAGAATAAAAACTATGTATGATTTCCTGTAAAATTTTGGTGATGCATAAACTTTACCCCAAAGCGTTTGATACTGATTTTCCAAAATAAGTTAGAGGTCACTTAATTTTCTTGTAACTTCTTCATATTTCTGAGAAGTTTGTCTGCATGCAACATGGCCTTTCGGAAGAAAAGTATCTTTTTCTAGGGCTGCAAGTAGAAAAAAGAGATTTGCTCCAAGACACATAGGGCGTGGAGCCTAGTGAGCGTAGGGTGGAAATGGTGACCTAGGTGATTTAAAACCCTGCTCTCTGGGGCTGTCAAGCACGAATGTCCATCTCAGCTGCTGGGCCACCGAAGGAGCCTCAGCTGTGAGTGAGTGGAAACATGGAGAGAAATGTCTCATGTAGTCATACCTCTAGCTCCCTAGCATAGCTGTCCTGGGGCTTTGGGAACACAGGAGATCTGCCCAGGAGCTGTTATGACAACAAGGACAATGTGGCCAGAAGCTGGAAATGCTCGATGGGATACGCTTCCCATGAGACTCTTGGCAAAGTCAAGATTTATTAATAAGAAAGAGCCAAAGCATACATTCAGAGACCAGGAGAAGAAAAAGTAACACAATTCAACACCATTTAACGGCACGATGTGATTAGTTTTGTTAGCTGCAGCTCTGGGGATACTTACTTCTCTACCTCGCCTTCCTTATTCATCATCCCTGGCTTAGACAACAAGGTGGCACCGTCCCCATTATGCCATTGTTCAAAGTATTATGCCCCAGGCACACAGTGAGGCTCCTAGCTGCTCCTGTTGGTATATCACTAAGGACCAGCTCCCCACATGGGCTGGAGAGACTGCCCCCCCAAAAAGAGATAAGGAAGAAATCAGAAGAGGCAGCCATGATGGAGGGACAATAAAAAGTGGGCCACAGTGGCAACAAGCCCAAGGGGTTGCTCATGAGGTGACAGTGAGGGAAGGCTGCCTGGGAACAGAAGATAAAAGATAAGCTGATTTTATGAAGTTTGTGATTTTTTTTTTCAATGTTTATTTACTTTTGGGACAGAGAGAGACAGAGCATGAACGGGGGAGGGGCAGAGAGAGAGGGAGACACAGAATCGGAAACAGGCTCCAGGCTCTGAGCCATCAGCTCAGAGCCCGACACGGGGCTCGAACTCACAGACCGCGAGATCGTGACCTGGCTGAAGTCGGACGCTTAACCGACTGCGCCACCCAGGCGCCCCATGAAGTTTGTGATCTTAGGGAGGAGGAAGCCCATTAATTTG